TCCCCTATAGTTTTTTAAATGCTTTCCATGTCTTTTCTACATTGATCCATTCTCTCTAATGACCAAACCACCTCAACAACCCTCTTCTGCCCTCTGACTAATGCTTTTATTAACTCCACCCCTTCTCCTAATTTCCACACTCTCGAATTTTCAGCATAATATTTACACCACACATTGCCCTTAGACAGGACATCTCCACTGCCTCCAACCGTCTCCTCGCTGCTGCATTTACCACCCAAGCTTCACATCCATATAAGAGTGTTGGTACTACTATACTTTCATACATTCCCTTCTTTGCCTCCATAGATAACGTTTTTTGACTCCACATTTACCTCAACGCACCACTCACCTTTTTTCCCTCATCAATTCTATGATTAACCTCATCCTTCATAAATCCATCCGCCGACACTCCAACTCCCAAGTACGTATCTGAAAACATTCACTTCTTCCATACTCCTCCTCCCCAATTTGATATCCAATTTTTCTTTATCTAAATCATTTGTTTACCCTCATCACCTTACTCTTTTCTATGTTCACTTTCAAACTTTCTACCTTTACACACATTCTCAAACTCATCCCTAACCTTTGCAATTTTTCTTTAGAATCTCCCATAAGCACAGTATCATCAGCAAAAAGTAACTGTGTCCAATTCCCATTTTGAATTTGATTCCCCATAATTTAATACCCACCCCTCTCCCGAAACACCCTAGCATTTACTTCTTTACAACCCCATCTATAAATATATTAAACAACCATGGTGACATTACACATCCCTGTCTAAGACCTACTTTTACCGGGAAGTATTCTCCCTCTCTTCTACACACTCTAACCTGAGCCTCACTATCCTCATAAAAGCTCTTTACAGCATTTAGTAACTTACCACTTATTCCATATACTTGCAACATCTGCCACATTGCTCCTCTATCCACTCTATCATATACCTTTTCTAAATCCATAAATGCAATAAAAACTTCCCTACCTTTATCTAAATACTGTTCACATATATGCTTCAATGTAAACACTTGATCTACACATCCCCTACCCACTCTGAAGCCTCCTTGCTCATCCGCAATCCTACATTCTGTCTTATCTCTAATTCTTTCAATTATAACCCTACCGTATACTTTCCTGGTATACTCAGTAAATGTCTTATTTTATGTTAATATAGACATTTTCATTAATCCATCTATTATATCTTCTTCAAAATTATGTAAGAAACATGTTATGTAGCATATAAGCATGCAATGTTTATTATATGTAATGTATATTTAATAATCCCTCTTTGCCACATTAAATGTCTTATTTTACGTTAATATAGACATTTTCGTTAATCCATCTATGATATTTTCTTCAAAATTGTGTAAGAAACACGTTACATATCATGTAGCATATAAACATAGCATATAAACATGCAATGATTTATATGTTATCAAGTGGAGAGTGGGATGGAGAGTAAACATTACGTTTTCTCTGATGCAGCGTTAGAGAAAACTGTGAATCTGGCGACTGGTGCAGTAACCGCCCTTCATATGCATTTGTTTACAATTCTTGGCATGAATTATTCATTACTTCTCCCTTTGCTTATGATGGCATCTAAAGGTAGTTGTTAGACATTATTAAACTCAGTGAACATGGTAATAATATGGCTGTGTAGTGTAATAATATGGCTGTGTATTGTAATATAGCTGTGAAGTGTAGCCCTGGGGACTACATATGTGTAATGTACCTACATCTACTGCTACCTACACTGACTTCCTACAAATAAATACTACTCACCTCTTGCCCTACATTAAGACTACAAATATTTTAAGGTTAGTAATGAATGTACTGTAGCAGTAAATGACAGATTAAAGAGCTGTGTGCAGTGTGGACTAGGGTGCAAGCTTTTGTAGAGAAACACTATCCTGACCAAGCTGAAACAAGCCATATCTGCAACATGTTCAGTGACAAAACCCTGTCCCACTTCAGGGAAATCTTAGAGAGATGCCAGAAACAGACCTCTATGGACAGATTTGTTGTGAGACAGGGGTCCAGTGACTCTCAAGCTGGTCCTAGTAACATTAAAAGACAAAGAAGGGAAGTAACCCCAGAGAAGGCTTTGTTACCTCAAGTCTGTATGGAGGGGGATTCCCCTTCCAAACACTAACTCCTCCCTCTACCTCTTCCCTATCTTCCAGAAGCCAACATTAGCCTTCAATAAAGGTACGTAAAACTTACATAATTGTTAAAAAAATTTTTTTTTTTTGTGAATATTTTTGTCTGGAACACATTAATTGTATTTCCATTAATTCTTACGTGAAATATTAATTCAGTTTTCGGCCATTTCGGTTATCAGCTGACCTTTTGGAACTGATTACTGCCGATAACCGAGGGTCCACTGTATATACATTATGCATTACATTGGTCTCACAGGCCACAAAAGTTATTTGAAAAAATAAAATATTAGAAAAGAAAAAATAGAATAAAAGCAAGATAATATTATCAAGTGAGCGGCATTCACCAATGTTGCCATAAACAGTTCACTTTGTCAACTTCACGCCTCTGTATCTTGGTAAGTACTGATTGCAAAATTTGTTTTTTCTTTTAAAACAATCAGAAAAATATTCTTAAGATTTTGATAAGAATTTTTTTTTTCAACACTGAGAGCAAGTTTGTGGTCAGGGGTCTCAACATTGAAAGGGTTAAAAATATACCAGAAATGTTATAAATGGTGCAAAGGTGACATTAAAACAATATCAGAGGTGGTTGACACAAAGCCATTATAGTATGTTCCTCACTTAGCGACAAATTCATTTACTGACGTGGTCTTTGGAACAAAACTTCATCATTAAGTGAGGAGAGGCTGTACTAATTGAGGTAATCCATATTCTTTAATCTTGGTACTGGTGAGTGCTTTTGTTTTAAGTTTGTTTTTAGTTATACTGATCTGTAGTTTCTCAGTTTCTTTCCACATATTCACTGCGGTTTTCCGAATACCAGTATATAAACTAATTCTGCATTTCATGTAGATACTTTTTCAAGATAAAATAGGTTTCCAAAGAAACAATTGGTGTAAAGGCATTTGATGTAAAGTGGCTTCCTACAAGAAAAATCATGCCAATTTGCCACGGAATAACTATCGTAAAAGTTATTGTTAAAGATTTGGTGGAACATTTTAATATAAATATTGTACTGTACTGCGGTGAAGTGTTGGTTTGAAATAATTATGCTTTCTTATGATAGAACCAAAATAAATAGAAAGGTCCATAAGATACAGATGCCTTGAGTAGTCATACATACTGGGGCATATAAACTATCCATTGTTCATTGCCCATATTTCTACTGATTTTTCTGTAACCTGGATAGACACATTTAATGTTATGCCCATCATAAGGTGACAACACATTTAATTTTGTTAAACCCTTTCAGCCTATCCATGAGAGTGCAAAATGTACACTCTCCCAGAGAATGGCAAGTGCTCCCAAAGAAGCCACCCCAGAAGAAAAAGCTGAGGCCGAACAGCTCAAGAATGAAGGCAACCAACTTATGAGGGATGAAAAGTTTACTGAAGCTCTAGATTGTTATACCAAGTAAGTTCCCTCGGTATTGCTACAGTTTGACATGTTAATCGTAGAAATTATTGCCTACACTAGTTGGGTAAATTTAGACGAGAAGGTAAAGTGCTCAAGGTACTTGTTGTTTTTGTGTTAGTCTGGAATCAAATTGCATCATAGAATACTAGATTACATTAAAAGAATTAGTGTAGCAATCAAATTATATTGAGGAATATATATAGAGTTGAAAAGTTTGTACCATTGAGGCTGTCTCTCACTGAATTAGGGTGACCGTCATTCACTGATTGTTGTATGCCAGACACTACTGACTCCACAGTTCAGATGACCTACCAAACTGTAACATCACTCCTCCTTTAAAGTATAGGCACTGTACTTCCCAGTTCAAGGATTCAAGTCTGGCTAACCAGTTTTCCTGACTCTCTTCATAAATATTACCCCGTCTTTTAGCGCTTCTTTTTGATTATAATAATAATAATAATTACCCCCTCTCACTCAAACAGTATATGTCAAGTCAAAAATTATTTGCCTCCATTCTCTCCCATCTAACATGCTCACACAGTTCTGTTGGATGTTCAAGCCTCTAGCATGCAAAAATCTCCTTTATCCCCTCCCTAGGATGTTCCCTTCCTAGCTGTCCTATTTTGTGCCATCCTCTCTAAATGTCCAAACAATCCCTCCATTGCCCTCTGAATTGTACTTCTGGTAACCCCATACCATTTTGTATGGGCCGCGGGGGCGTTGACCCCCGAAACTCTCTCCAGGTAAACTCCAGGTAATATTAACCCTGAACTAAAACACTTTCTTGATAGTTGCAACAAGACCCATAGACTCAATACCAGACAAAAATCTCTGTGACATTTCCCATGTCCAGCTAAACCTCTTTAAAAATTCAATGTACATAAAAGGGCATAAAATCTGGAACTCCCTGCCTGAAAACTCTAGAGCCGCAGATTCAACCACCATTTTCAAAACTACCATTAAAAAAATCTTGTCTGCCTAACACACACCATCATCAGCTAACCAAATGAAAACCACCTACTTTTCTTTTTTGTATCATGAGCACATCCAAAACAATAGAGTCTTACTCTCGATATCTGTAATTCCCCCCTAATTTACACTTACACCCAACCATATGACTGTAAACATAAAATTCCTAATGTATAGCTATTGCCTATTAATTCTTAAGTTAGTCCTGATAGGACTATTGCCTGTTAAATCTTAAGTTAGTCCTAAGTTTACCTAAGATACTCTCTCAGTACATAAGTTTTAATAGAAACAATGTATCATGCCAAGACAAGTCCAATCCCATTACTAAATCTACCATTTGTAATATTATTTTATGATTTGTTCTGCCTAACTGTTTTAAATCTAACTGTGTATGTACCTAATTACAATGGACCCTCGAGTAACGGCCTGAGCTTGCTATCACCTGCAGCTCATAAGACTGCCATCCCCACGAGCCCCTTTGGAGCAGGGCAGATGGCAGACCAGAGGCCTAGCTTCTCCCTACGACCCCTGTGAGGGCGGGGACTGTGGCTAGGCCTGGGGACACTTGGTCCCAAAGATGAGGGGGTATTTGTACCTCCTCCCATAGGAGACTTAGGTCTCGAGATACTCCCCAGATAGGGAGCCAAGGCCATGTCACCACTACTTGGAAAAGACCCGGGCTGGGAGAGTACCGGCGAATAAGAAAAAAAAAAAACGGTGGCATCAGCTAATGCCAAAATTGGATAGCGGCATGTTTTTGCATCAGAATATTGGCTCGGCTAACGCCCAAGAACTCGGTTAAGGACATTCGTCCCAAACGTGTCCAGTGGCCTGAGCCCATGTTAAGCCAGTGTAAAGTAAAAGGACACAAGTGCAACTAATGTGACATTTTATTGTGGCAATGTTTCGCTCTCCAGGAGCTTTATCAAGCCATAACAAACAATACATGGACACAGAGGGTATATAAAGGCTCAGAGTGAGGTGCAATACTAGTGAGGTACCATTTCGATGTTCACTAGTGGTGGTAGTAGTAGTAGTAGTAGTAGTAGTGACAAAAGTAATACAATATGGTAGAGCAATTAATTCGTATATGAGTAAAAGGATATAAAAGCTATTACTTGGGAAACAAGTAATAGCTTTTATATCCTTTTACTCATATACGAATTAATTGCTCTACCATGTTGTATTACTTTTGTCACTACTACTACTACTACTACTACTACTAGTGAACATCGAAATGGTACCTCACTAGTATTGCACCTCACTCTGAGCCTTTATATACCCTCTGTGTCCATGTATTGTTTGTAATGGCTTGATAAAGCTCCTGGAGAGCGAAACGTTGCCACAATAAAATGTCACATTAGTTGCACTTGTGTCCTTTTACTTTACATATTGTCGGTAATTCTACCAACTTTATTAAGCCAGTGTGCCATTCTTTACAAGCCAGGGAGGACAATTCCACACGTACATGCGATATATTTTGTATTATTCCATTTTTTTAGTGTTTGTAACTGCTAAATAAGCCACCATGGGCCCAAAGAAAGCTTCTAGTGCCAGCCCTGTGGTAAAGAAGGAAAGAAACACAATAGAATTAAAGAAAAAACTCATAGCAAACTGCCAAAGTGGAGGAGGAAAAGAGAGGGGAGAATGTCCCTTTCCTCATGTTTTCATGATTCCCCCCGATATTTAATACTAAAGCAGCGGGAAACGAAAAAGGGGCTATAGTGCCAGCCAGGGGATAAGGTGTAGAATTAACAGTGAGCAATTAATTTAAGCGATTAAGCATAGAAAAATGACACGAATTTAACTCCCCAAAATGTTTTTGGGATGTTATTGGGCCAAAGAACAAAACCCAAGCCTGCTACAAACTTCCACAAACTTAAAATTCTGCCAGCATCTCCTCCATCAAACAAACAAAATTAAAAACACCCCCTTCCTTTAAAAGCGTAAATATAAAATTTGTAAGAAAAAAAATTAAATATAATTGTCAAGGGAAAAAGGGAAACCCCAGGGAAATTTATTTAAAGGGCATTTCTGATTTTTTTAAGTTATCCTAGGTATTTTTCCCAACATATGCTGCTTGTGTGATACCTAGGGTTTTTTTTTTTTTTATTATCACACGGGCCGATTTCCACCAATCGGGGTGGCCCAAAAAAAAAAACCCTTTCACCATCATTCCCCCAAATCACTGTTTTTGCCAGAAGGGTGTTTTTACCCCAAACATTTTTAAACTGCAACTTTAAAAAAACCCCCTCCTTCAGAGTGAAAGGCACTGAAATTTCCCCATCCCAGGACTCAAGCCCGGGCCCCTCCCGGGTTTTCCCCCTGAACCCCTTCAAAAGTTACTTTTGTTTCCACACTCCAACACCCAGGCAATTTTAAAAAAACCTTTTGGGTCCCCCCATTCACCCCCTATCAAACACGCTCACGCATACCCTGGAAGTCCAAGCCCCTCGCACAAAAAAACCCTCCTTTACCCCCTCTTTTCCAACCTTTTCCTAGGCCGACCCCTACCCCCCCCCTTCCCACTACAGACTGATAAAACTCTTAAAAGCCATTCGTTTCCCCCTCCATTCTCACAAAGCCCGAACCACCTCAAAAACCCCTTCCTCCCCCTCGGACAAAAATTTTGGTAATCCCGCACCCCCTCCTAACTTCCAAACTATGAATACTCTCATTATATTCACACCAAAACATTGCCCTCAGCCCTGACATCTCCACTCCCCTCCACCCCTTCTCCCGCTGCAACTTATCACCCATGCTTAAACACCCATTAAAACTTTGGAAAAACCCTATACTCCATCCCATTCCCCTCTTTGCCCCCAAAGGGAAAAAAATTTTTCCTCTGTCCCCCACAGACCCCCTAAGTGCACCATTCACTCTTTTTCCCTCTTTCAATTCTATGTTCCCCCCTATCTTTCATAGACCCACCCTGCCCACGTCCATTTTCCAAATAAAACAAAATACTTTCACCCCCTTTCCATACCCCTCCCTCCAACCCTGATATTAAATCTTTCATCACCTAATCTTTTTTTTAACCTCAAAAACCTTACCTTTCCTGTATTCATCTTTAATTTTCTTCTTTTGCCCCCCTCCCAAAATTTCTTTCCCACCAATCTTTTGCAACTTCTTTTCAGAATCCCCCCAAGAGAAAACAGTGTCATCACAAAGAGCAGCGTGAAAACCCCCCATTTGGGGGTTGTGATTTTTTTATTTTTTTAAACTCCAAAGCCTCTTGTCAAGCCCTCGCTTTTTACTTCTCTTACAACCCCATCTATAAATATATTAAAAAAACCACGGTGCCCATCACACACCCTTGTCTAAGGCCTCCTTTTTCTGGGAAAAAAATTTCCCCCTTTCCACATACTCCTAACTTGACCCACTAACCTCGTAAAAAATCTTCACTGCTTTTAGTAACCTACCTCCTACACCATACACTTCCAAAAATCTGCCCCATTGCCCCCCTATCCACCCTGTCATATGCCTTTTTCCCCAAAACCATAAATGCCCAAAGACCTCTTTAAAACCCCCTTTTTGGGGCCAAGGCCCCCAAAACTGGAGTCACGCACCAGTGTCCAAAAATTTTCAAAAAAAAAAAAATTTTTTTTTTTTTCTTTTTGAAAACTAGAGAATCTTTTTTTGAAAGGGAAAAAACAAAAAATACGAAATTTGGTGGAAAAAATTTAGAAATTATCTCTCCCCCGAATTTTGATGTGTCAGCGATATTTAAAAATCGGCGATTTTCTGACTTTTTACTCCCATTTTAGGCCAAATTTCATTATTCCAATCAACCCAAAAACCTTTTGCTAAATTTCACTAGTATTACTTCTATTCTATCGATTGAGCACAAGAAATTCGCCAAGTCAACTGTTTCAACTACAAAATAAGTGATCGGAAATTTTTTAATTTGGCCAATTTAACACAAAGTTCAAAATATTCCAATTTCAAAAATAGGGTCCAGAATAAAAAATGTAGGCATTCCTGGCACTAAACTAACATTTCCTTGTTCATTAGTTATTTTTTGAGGC